TGTTCATATGTGTGTATACATTCTGTTTCTATCTTGACCGACATTGGAAGAAAAAAAAGAAAAAGAATCCTCTTGGCAGGAGACGACAACCATCAGATCATCCATCTCTTCATTTCTTCTTTTTATCTAAGTCTACCAGCTGGTTAACATCGAGCATGCTGATCGACCATACCTCATCAATGTTGGCACTATGCGACCTTTCCCATGTATATGTATAACAAAACAAAAAGAAAAAGGAGCTAATGTATTTTTAATTTCGTATATAATTATTCATGACTAAAGTAATATTAATTTGTTCAACAAATTATATTTGTTATCTAAACTAAAATATATAAAAAAAAAAAAAAGGAAGAAAGAAAGAGAGAAATGAAAAATAGCCATCTGCTTACATGTTTATACTCAATATATATATATATATACTGAAGCACAGAGTGCACGCGCGAAGACATTCGATGACTTTTTGTCTGTGTATTTTTTTTTTTCATGTTGATTGAACCAATGTGAGAACGACGACGAGCCAAAAAAAATGTGTTATCGTTTCTTTCTCATTCTTTTTTAGCTTCTCGTGCCGATTCTAACAAAATTAGTCTCATTGCTTTTTTTTTCTATCGACATAGATGACTATACATAGTCTGTTCTCTTTGCTTGTGTTTTTCTCTTTTTTGAGTGAGCATGTGGTGGTCATCACTTTTTTCTTTTCTTTGTCTATTCTGTAATAACTATTTAATTAATGGTGAAAATACTTTTCGGTCAACAGACATATAAGGTAACCATACATAAGAAAATTTTTTTGTCATTTTGTATAGATACGTTATTGAGAAAAAAAAAGAAGAAGAAGATTTGTCTCCAGCTGAGTCGTTTGATAGATTACTTGTTTTTCCTTGTTGGCGGATTTCTGTTATTTTTATTATGACTATTCTGTTTCTTCTTTTGGGTACATATGATATTGCTAAAATAGAAAACGAAGAAGGACATCGTATTTATAAACAGAAAAGACAAGCCGGATTAATATCAGTACTGTTTTAGATATTAATAAAAAATTGACATTTGTTAATGTTCTAATACATTTAATTTACCTGTTAATTCAAAATATTTTTTTTTTAAAGAGTAAATGTAAGAAGATTTATATGTATATATATATTAGAAAATAATTCTTGCCTTTTTCTTATGACATAACAAAAAATACTAATGGCTATGTAACTAACATAGTTATATGTATAAGCGAAGCAATAAGATATTATACATAATCACAACTAAAATAGTTACTAGAAGTTGATGATACTGAATAATGGATATCTTTTAATCATAATATTGTTAGTAATTTATCTGGATATTTGTTTTTTTAAATATTTATTTAAATAAGAATAAAAGAATTTAATTTAAGATTATTGATTATATTAATATGATCATACAGAATAGGATTTAAGTTAGCGTAGAAAAATCTATGAAATAATATTTCAATTTATTTTTTATGATAAAAAAGAATTTTTATGTGAACATCAATTGAAAAATAAAATAACATGACAATATGACTGAATATTGTTATTTATTGAATATTATCCGAAGTCAATAGATCATTGAAAAATGCTTCAAAATTATCATCAACTGGTGTTGAGGAATTCTAAATTAAAATCAATCATATATATTAGAAGAAGTCTATTGAAAAAAAAAGATTATAATGTATTAAATACATTAATAAAACTCTCTCGTCATAAGTTACAATAGAAGTGCCAATAATCTCATGAGAAAAATGTCTCAACTGATTAATTGTTTTTTGAATCGAGATTATGTACGTCATGTAGACCCTAACGAAAAGACCTAGAACGTATAGATTATTACTACAGAGATATTTTATTTTTTTAAGTCAATATCGTGATCCTCCTTAGGAAAATGAATTTTCATATTTTAACTTGAATTTTTCATACCGATAGATCGTCATAATAATAGTTTATTGCGAAAGTTTCAGATCTTGTAATTTGCTCCTCGTTCTGAAATACGAATATCGAATTTACTGTTGTATTTAGGCATACATTCAAACTTAATAACAGAATTTGAATATTTTGTCATGAACTCTAATACGTAGTATAACAATGTTGCAAAAATCTTTCTTTTGACACTCTCTAGTATCCTTCCTCTACTTCAATTTTCTATCGACGAAAAAATGCTGTACTAAGTACTTCAGTAAATTAGGGTATTTTTCTGCATTTAGACAAAAAAAACGATCCAAATTGTTTGAGTACATGCCTGGTTGTATATGACTGATACAAACAGACGCGTTTTTACTACAGTTGTATATTCAGATAGAAATACTGACAAGATTGACTTGAATAGAGAAAATTATTTTCTACAAGAATTTGAGAAAAATAAAATTTTTGTTTGATTTTACAGAGTAACTGACTCTCGACAAAATAAGACATCTCCGAGCTTTTCACTACATTTTTTAATAGAATTATATCGATATTAAGGAACACTCAACGATAATATTTTCGTTGTTTTCTAAGAAAAAACTTGACAAAATAGATTTTGCTTAAAATTTATTTAATTTGATCAAAAAATATAGTGAAAAGTTCGGAAATGTTTCGTTTTGTAGAGAGTTAGTTGCTTTGTATAATCAAACCAAACTTTTATTTTCAGATTTTATGTGCTGAAAAACCAATTTTTTAAGAATCTTAGGAAGATTTTATTTTCTTCAAATTTTTGTTAGAAACAATTTTCATCTCGATTAAAAAATGATCAATCAATTGGAAAAATTTCTTCGTAAGTATTATACTATTGATTATATAGCTCAAAAACAAGGCAATATTTTTCTTTACGAGATAGAAAATATTAATTTTCATAGAAAATTTTTCATTTTCATTTATAAATAGAAAAATATTTGAAATTAAACTTAAATAAATGCGAAAACCTCGAATTTAAATCCGAGTGTTATGTGTACTGCAAAAAGTGAAGAGATATATTCACTGTTTTTTATCAACTGAGCCATATCTAGCCTATTTGCTTTTTGCATGCAGTTTTTCTGCATTTTGAGACATTTTTCATGGGATGTTTTGTTAGAAAGCTACGATTTGGTTCAAAACTAATATCAGATTCGGAATCAGCGTTAAAAACTGAGTCGAT